AACACACAACAATCATACAATTCGAGACGGGGGCAACAGCTCTTTAGCCCGAGGCCTGTCGGAACAGCCAGGTTTTAAGGGCTTTGCGGAAGGCCTGGAGGGTGGTGAGGGTGCGAATCTCCACGGGGAGTTCGTTCCAGAGGGTCGGAGCAGCCACAGAGAAGGCTCTCCTCCGGGTAGTCGCCAGTCGACACTGGCCAGCGGATGGAATTCGGAGGAGGCCTAGTCAGTGGGATCTAATTGGTCTAGTGGAGGTAATTGGAACACAGATGACTTACTCTCTGGAAACAAATACTGCGGGAGGCAAGACACTCTTAACAACCTGAGGGCTGTGTGTTCTGTTAAGATACAGCCTGTTGTGCCTTAAAATGGCTTTTACTGTACTACTGTAAAATGGCTTTTTACTGTACAGTGTAGTGGAGTTGCCATGGTAATGACTTCACAGTACTCCACAAGGGGGTTTCCTCTGGTAATGGGGAAAATCCAATCATTAGAAATTACATTTGGTCCAGACATTTTCCCCCTATAAATAAATACCTGGGCAACGCCGCGTTTTTCAACTAGCAGTACAATAAAAACTGAGGATGTGTTCTACAGAAAAGTATGCCTACTGCTTTTGTCCTGTTAATCAGCCACATGATCTCATCCAATCTCTTTCTAAAATGCTCCATTTACTCAGCAAGCTGAAAGACTTTTGCTTGTATTCTTGAGATCCAGATTTCATCCATCACTTATTTACTAACTTACCCCCCTTAGAATTGACTGCATGTCTCAAAACATCACAGGAGACCTCCCGTTCAGCAGTTTTCCCCCTTCCTTTTTGAAAAATCGCATCTTGTTGCTGAAAAGAAAAGGATATATTAAGTAATCTCTAAAAGATGCTTCGTATGGCATATGAGCACAGCCCATAATTTAGAGATAGCAATAGCTCTTACACTTATATACCACTTCATAGTGCTTTTATAGCCCTCCCTAAGTGGCTTACAGAATCAGCCTATTGCCCCCAACAATCTGGGTCCTCATTTGGAAGGATGGAAAGCTGAGTCAGCCTTAAACCTGGTGACTGCCAAATAGCAGGCAGCTGGCAGTCAGCAGAAGTAGCCTGCAGTACCACATTCTAACTACTGCGCCACCATGGCTCTTGATGTTCCTCTTTCCTCCATCAACCCCTCTGCTCTTTCTACAGAAACATCACCTCTTTGTTCTCCTGAGATCCATTTTCACATACAGAAATTGTTTCTTCCTTCATGTTGTGCTTCACTGTTTCATTTGTCTGTAAAATAAAAAACACCACATGCTCCTTCTTTCCAGTGCGCTCCTCTTCTATATTTTGTTCAAGGATTTCCAGGGACACTTCACAGTCAAAGAAATCTCTAGCTACAGCTTCAATAATTCCTACATAAGGAAAAAGGAACAACCTATTTTAGGGAAATATGTACATCCCTTCCAAAGTGCTCGGCTCTTAAGGAACTTGATGAGAAGCAAGTTTCTTATCCACTTCTTTCAATAACAGCCACATATAGCTTTCAAAAAAAAAATCACGTTTGGAGCAATTTTCTCCCCCATCACTGTTCTTCCAAAGTTCCTCTTCATTGTTCAGGAAAATTATTCCAACTTCTTAACAAGCTTTGCAGTTAAGTGCAAAACAGAAGAAAGAATGGGAAACTTTCTTCTTTATATTAATCTTTCTTAGGACATGGAGAGAATTTCTAGCAGGATAGGATAGATTTCCACAAAACTGGAAACCCAGGAAATAATAATAGTTTTAATTATAACATATATTAAAAAAAACAGACTAAACCTTCTAAAGCTTTTTTTTCTTAGACCTAGCACCAAGGTTGCTGATCAGACAACTGGCTGAGGTTACCTAATCTGATTTCACTTTTGTTCCGTAAATATCTGTACATCCCAGTCTGCATCTGAACACTTTCTTTGGAACTTGCGTTTGACTTCTTCCCTCCCCAATTATTATAATTGTACATGAGAAACTAACAAACTATAGAGTAGAATACAGCATTTAGCTTTATCCAAATACCTTATTGGAAAATAAAAATAGTAGATGATTTGACTCAAGTGCTTTGTTAGGAAGCATGCCTTCCTGTTTAATAAAAGGAAAGGATTAAAAAAGAAGAAGTGAAGCAGAAGCTGACTGAAATTCTCTCTAATTCTACCACAAGTATTCATTGGTCCAAAGATTTGGTGATTCCTGGCCCACACTATCATTTAATAATTATCTTTCTCCAATCTGGTGTTATCCAGATCTGTTATAACTTCCATCCCAATCTGTTCTGGTCTTTGATGATGGCTTTGTGGTCCAACAGATTCCAAGACCTCCCTTTTTAAGTATCTCAAAACTTTCTTCTATGCAAGTCAAGGTCATCTCAAGCTTTCTAAAGTGCTCCTTTCTCTGTTCTACCCTTAAACTTATATACCGCTTTACAGCCCTCTCTGAGAAGTTTACAAAATCAGTATGTTTTCCCCAGTAATCTGGGTCTTCACTTTACCAACCTCGGAAGGATGGAAGGCGGAGTCAACCTTGAGCCTGATGAGAATTGAACTGCCAAATTTCAGGCAACTGGCAGTCAGCAGAGGTACCCTACAATACTGCATTCTAACTAATGTGCCACCATGGTTCTAAGCAATGCCCTAAGACAAACAGATGCATTCATCCTCTATTAGGATGAATGATTATTAATGATAATATTTTCACCAAATTATATTCTAAAACGTTTTAAAAATCAATGGCACAAATTGGGGGCCTTTTATACAAGACTTGGAATAGAGGGGAGGGGTGGAACAGTTATGTCAAAGTCACAGAGGTTATTGAGCTAAGTAAAAAAATCTCATCCAACCCATCCACCCTGGCCCAAGTATACTTATAGAAAAGTTCCCATTTAGTTCAAGTATTGTATTATAAACATTCCATTGTGAAACTGCTGCCTTCGTCATACCTGGGACAATGTGACACAAGCCTTTCCTGTCTGAATAATAGTGGAGGAGCATTTCCCCATCTTTCCTTTCCACTCGAAATGATGGTGCATTCATTTCCTAGGCAGGACAAAAATCTGTTTCATTTTCTTTCAACACTGCCAAGAGTTTATTCTAATACCCACCAGCATTATAAATGCATTTTTTTTTCTTTGTTGCACAACTGGCCTTCTATTCAATTTATAATCAAAAGGCCAACAGAGAGCAATAGATAAGAAAGGAATGCAAATGGCAGAATTTGCATTCCTTTCTTATTGTGTTGGTTAATAAGAGTTTGCCTATTTTGTATCCTGAGATTTGTTCATAGTATTGAAAATACTGGAGAAGGTCTCAGCTTTCAATAACAGAATCAAACTCTGATTCATAAGTCCTTGGATCTGTTCAGGTTATATGCAATTTTATTCCAATTTTCCTTTCACAGTGAGTTGTATGCAAGAACTCTCTCCTTCTGTTTATTTTCACATCCTTTGTCTTAAACAAACCCACTGCTGAAGCATATTAGTGATGTAAAAATATGTGTCATAGTCGAAAATGGCCATGGCATATATTGAAAGGTAATTAATTTCTACTTTAAAATAATTCAAAGGCAGGGGGAAAAAACATTTTTCATGTAAATGACCCTTCTATCCCTTGGCTACAATTGCTTCATTTCAGTATGAATTCAAGACAGTTCCATACATTACAATTATAATGAAAAGCAATAGCTCAGCCTTCCTCTGAGTATAACTCCCCAAATTCCTGGAAACATGCATGGCCCACTAGGAATTCTTTTAGCCTAGCCATCTATTACATTTCACCTCTTACAGGTAATTCTAGGACAGCAAGTCTCTCACAGATTCAATAAGAAAGAGGACAGGTTACAAAATTTTGGAAAATAGAAATGTATATCTTACCAGTGAGTTTATTATAGCAGGATCTACCTATCTGTACTTGTTCTGCAACAGAGTAAAACTAATCTATTCTGTCACATCAAAATACAAAAATATGTATATGTCTCTCTCTTGCTCCCTCCCTCCCTCCCTCTCTCTCCCTCCTTCCCCCCTCTCTCTCATACACAAACAGCAAGCTATTTCAGGGTGTTTCTCCAGAAGAAAATGTACCTGGTAGGACAAAGCAAGGTAGCTATGTAAGGAGTCAAGATTCTCAATAAACTCCGTCAAATTTCCTCCTAGTGTCCGTAGCATTTTATCATATCCTGATGTTTTGCAGAAATTAAAGAAGTATTGCCCAAAAAGCTTCAACACTGCCTCCTCTGGCATTTCTGCATGGGAAGAAAAAAAGCAGATTCGGGAATAATGGCATGTATACCTGGGCACAACAGTTCAAATCTCACCGGCTCAGGGTTGACTCAGCCTTCCATCCTTCCGAGGTGGGTAAAATGAGGACCCAGATTGTTGGGGGCAATATGCT